TTGGGACCGCTCTTCACCACGTTATTCTCAAAACGACTTTTTGCTAATCTCAAGTCACTTTTTAACATATTGGAAAAATTGCGGTGTAGGTCGTAATCCTCTTGAGCACCCGACATTCTGTATTTATTCCATAGTTTGTTTTTTATTTTTGCACGTTTTATAAAGGTCTGGGTAATCCAGGGTTTTGTACGATTGCACTTGACTTTATATGTAGTCGTATGTTTAGAAACCAGGTCACACAGTACATTCCTAAATATGTTCCACGCTTCGGTACAACAACTTGTGCTATATAGAGAAGTCCAATCGGTATTGGTCAGATCTGAATTTAACCCTTCAAAATTAATTTTGGAGTGCTTGCGAAAATGATGCTTTTGCAACGAAGATGAGTGGTACTGTAAAGTGGTTTCAATTACACAATGATCTGAAATGCCAATGGGAGCACAATGCCTGATCTCCCCTAAGAGATTGAGATCAGTTGTTAAGACTAGATCAAGTAAAGATGGTTCTTGTCCAACGCGAAAACGAGTGGGGGCAGCGACAAGTTGTGTTAGGTTTGTTTCATGGAGCATATCAATAAATTGTGCTGTAGAGTCATCGTTGGTCTGCGATTGAACGTTTTGCCAGGAAATATTTGGAAAATTAAAATCGCCAAGTATGATTAAGTTGGAACGAAGGTGACATAATCTTTTAATTTCATCGTACAGCAATTCATCATCAACTAGGGGACTTCCAGGCGGTCGGTAAACACATACTAATGAAAAATTTTGAGAGTTGTGACTACAGTCCACACTAACCAATTCAGTATTCCCATATCTTTTGCTGTTACATATTACAGAAAATTGATTAAATAACGCTTGTTTTAATAAGATGCAAGCACCTCCCCCTCGCGACGTTCGATCGGTGCGGTATAAAGTGTATTCATTAAGCCCAATCAAGGAATCGGAGATATCAGAAGACAACCATGTTTCCGTTAGTAGAATACAATCAGGTTTATTATCTTCGATATAGAGAGTCATAGAGTCAAGTTTTGCTAGGAGAGAGGCGATGTTAGTGTACATTACTGAAAACTGTATTATTTTGGCAGGGTGGTCTTGCATATATGTGTTACAGCCTAGAGACTCCTGGCCCATATGCTATGCTGAAAGAATTTCAGCTTTGAGCTTATCAAAAGCTGATTTATACACCGGGCAGCAGTGATCCCATACTGCATGATTAGTGTCGACAAGACTGTTGTTTTTTTCATTTAGACGAACGCAATTGATACACTTCAAATGTTCTGATGTGCAGTTTCTGAGTTCGTGTTCGCAGCTGCATTTGGGACATGTTACTTTATTTTTACAAACACGAGAAGAGTGACCGAAGTTGTTGCAATTGAAGCATCTATTTGCTTCTAAGCCTTCAAACGCCGAACAGTAATCGTAACCAGCAAACAAGCCACCAGCAGCCATTAATCTATCATACGAAGTTTTGTCAATTTGCAGGAGGGCTTGATATACTTTCGGTTTTTTTTTAGTGGGCCAGAATTTCAGAATTTCGCATGTTGACTTAGGGTTAAAGATAGAGCTATTTACCTTTATCATGTGGTCAGCAAGGTTATTCCACTCAGCTTCCTCAAATGCCTGTGAGAAACCAACTAGTTTAACTCGGGGGGAGACTCCTTTGATTTCTCTTATTACATAAGTTTCCGCAAGTTTTTCTTGGGCTAACAGTTTGAAACGGGAGTTTTGCTCAACTGAAGAACATCCGACAAGTATACCTCCGTTTTTTGTGCTCAGAACTTTTTCTAACTGAATATTCGCGTTGAGAGGGTCTATGTTGGATGCAATGTCGGACTTAGTTTTGTTGAAATCTTGTTCTGGATTTTTTGGCTGAATAACTATTGCTGGCTTTGTTTTGTTTTTTAAAATTGCAGAAAAAGAAGGTACAGGTGGTTTACATTCCGGAAGTGTATCCTTTATCTGACGCTCAGCGCTCTCAATTAACTCCGTTTTTAAATTCGAAAATATATCTTTTAGATTGCCGACTAATTCGTCAAATTTTGCTCCGAGAAATTCATTTAGCGAATCCGAGTCAAGACAGAAACACTTTTTGACACATTCCGGACATTTCCAGTTTAGGCCAGGAACAGATTGAAGATGCTCGTGCAGACTTTCCGGAACATCAGCACATTTATAATGATACTGCTTGCCGCATGTGCCGGAACAAGTTAGGTAACACAGTGAAACCAGCCGACCGCTTTTGATGGCCGCATGGCACTTTCCACAAATGGGCAGCATGATATTGCTGAAGTCTTAGGGAAAAAGAAAACAGAATGTTTGGACTTAAAAGATTTGTTTTTGGTGGGTCAGCGAGCCGCCTACACAAGCGAAGACCGGCTGCTGGCCATAAAAAAAAGAAAAAAAAGCAGAAAAGAACCGACAATTCAGTTGATAAGGGGCCGAAAAAGATTAAGAACTTTAAAATTTAACGTAGTAATAAGGAAAGATCTTACCAAATTTGCAATAGGAATTTGAAAATTTGTCTCTCTGGTTGGTTGCCAAACCTAAAGAGGAATTCAGCAGTTCCCAGGATTTAATTGAGCCTATAAACTCACAAAAACACTAGTAAACCAGAAGCACGATACGAACACTCGCGTACTCAAGTACCTCTATTTATAATTCAATTTCTTTTTTAAACTGTGTGAAAATCCGTTAAATACTGATCATAATTTTTTTTCTCACATTTACTATAAAATGAGATTCTTAATTGGATCAATTAAATTGGCCGAAGGCTATAAGGACAAATCCTGTTCTTTAAAAAATATATGAAATTTGATTTTACGATCTTAGTTTTGTAATGACCGCTGTAAAGTAAAAACCAGGGACATAAATAACATCCCTTGTCCTTTCAGCACCAGGTCATATCAATCTGAAGCTCAAGTGTTTATTTATGTTTATACATCGAAAGAGTGTCACGTAGAAATTAGTTTGATTTGAATGAGTTTACCTTCTCAAAACAGGACTAAAATTATTAATTAAACCACAGTCGAACAAAATGTTCTGAATATTATAATTTTTATTTTAAAACTTGTGATTACGTCATCAGCATGGATAATTCTAGTCAACAGTTATACCAACGCAAGAAAAAAAAAGGAAAGGGCCAAGTTCGGCATCGAACCCACAATCGCAGTACCGCAGGTCGCCGTTCTCTCCGATACACCCACTGCGTCACGGAGACATACAAACCTTGTTGGGAATAGAACGTTATTATACCTTGCAAATATTATTGTGAAAATTTGAACGTTTAGCGAAAAAACTGAAAGTGGATTCGTACACTACAAGTATATGAGTACATTTTTGTCGAGAAAAAATAAAAGTGGCCATTCGTCCGATGGACTCGATTACAATACTTCCTTCGCTTACACTTAAGAAGTAATATGCTTTATCACCCACATATTAGGTAACAGAAATCTCGAATTATGATTTCATATATGTATTAAACAAAAAATGCATCAAATTTTGACTAGAAATTTCTAAAGACCTTTTACTTTCTTTTTTAAATCGCTTTTTTTGTCGTTTTTCGGAAACTTTTTGGTGCTTTTTGACTTCTTCTTCGCGTTTTTCTTGTCTTTTTTTGTTGCCTTTTTGTTATCTTGTTGTTCTTCATAAAAAGTTTATGACGTCATTACAAAATTTTATTAAGAAAAACTTACTTGAATTTATCTAAAACACTGAATTTACTTGACTGTATTTCTACAAGGCAACTTTAGATCAGTTTTTTTGAGATTTTTTTTAAGGAAGTGAATAAATAAAATTTTTTTAATTGTCTATAATCACTAACACAATATTAGTTAAAAGTTATTATTAGGAGAATTTTTACACTGTGAAATAAAAATATGAATGAATTGTTAAACCACAAATAAAAGTGCTATGCTATGCTGCATATTTAAAATGAGATTTTCTTAATAAAATTTTCCAATGACGTCATTCATTTTTGGTGGGGAGAATTATATTAATGTTGATACGCACAATGCAACAAGATGTAGAAAGAAAAAGTTAGCCCCGCCCACCCACCCGTTCTCTATTTTGGCGCCTTTTTACTTCCCAAACATAAGCCTCGGACGACTGACTACTTTTACATCTTCTTGATGTATTATGACCCCTAAAGTACGTTTCCGTCTGTCTGCCTGTCCTCTATATCAATTTTTTTATTAGACAAATAATCGTCGAAACTACTGCACCGATTGTCGTCAAATTTTATATGTATGTTAGAAAAATCCTGTAGATGGTAAACCAAAAATTTACAGTAGTAAATTTTATTGAAACTTTTATAAATAAATATACTCCTACACTTGTGGTGTATGAATCCGTGTTGAGTTTTTACCATAGACGTTCAGATTTTTGGTAAAAAATCAAAATTGTATAACAAAATGTTGCAGCTTATTATTTGAAACTATTAAACCGAATGCATTCATATATTCTAAAATAAATTTTGAAGGGCTATATTTTGTACATTTGGCCTCAAGAATGTTTTAAATTATTTTTTTTCTGTTCTATAAACAGTCTTCAACAACGTGTCATAGAGTTGGTACACCATTTTTTCAGCGCCCTGTATATAAGTATAAAAGATTTGACCACTAACTTCGATTTCATTAGAATAAAAAAACTGCCTAAGCCTGATGTTTTTTGAAGTACGTCCAGTTCACTGCGTGTGCGCGATAAAGTAGGCGTTTTTCACAACTTTTCTAACATTTCCACCAACTTTTAGAAATTTCCCTTATCGAAAAGTTCAAGGTGACTTTTTTCGAAAAATTTCGAAAGCCACATCTCTAAAGTTTAGCGAACACAAAAAATACAAGCACCATATTTAAAGCAAATAAAGTTAACGTTAATAAAAAAAAATGAAATGTGTTATTTTCCACAACCAGGGGTGCATTTACGTATCGATTCTGCATGTCGGTTTCATTTCTCCTAGTTTTTCCACACACAAATAAATCAATCTCGAACATAATTTGATTTCAGGGGTGTCTCTTCGGCTCTCCCTTCACTTCCACTTGCTACCAGCAATACCACCAGGAGCATTACAAATCCACTCCACCTCCCGGTAAGAAATTTTCACCTGAAAAAAAATTCCATTTTTCGTCATGTCCGAGCCCTCGGTGTTGATGACGAACGCGTGAATTTTTAATGAACTCCACCATTAAAACTCACTTAATATCGAGACAATAGCAACAAGCTGAAATCTGGCGTGTTTCAGGCGTATTCCCCACAGACTGGAGAGAGCCCTGGCATCAAGAAGGTAAGTAATACTACTTGCTCCATAATTAATGTGGTAAATGCGAGCGTTTAACCCTCTGTTCTGTGTAAAACGCCCCGTCAGGACGAGTTGTACATTCTCCGTCGCATTCTCTTTGCCGAATTAATGGCTGATGGAAAGGAAGGGCGAATGTTAGCCAGACTTAACAAAGCTTTCACCTGTTGTTATCTTATTAATGATGCATGGTGTTAAATGATGGACCTTATTCCTCTGAGAGTATCGCGCGCATTTGCAAAGGGCCGTGGAACGCGATGCAGGGCAGAGGTGGTCGGATTCGATAAAGCAGCAAAAAGTGGGCTTGATATAAAATGAATCGAGCACTTAAAAACTAAAAATAAGCGCTTTTATTATACATACTCTAGCTGTATTAATCAACAAGGTACTCGTTTTTTACAAGTAATTTACTACCTAAAAACAAAATATTATTTTATAGTCGTAGGCTTTTCTTTCAAGCTTACCCATTCAGACTCATTTTGTTTTGGCTAAATTCCTACACAGAAAACATTTTTTACAGCCACAAAAAGTGCATTGTAATAATCACTAACTTAAAGTTGTTTGGAAAACCTCAATCATCTCAACGCATTTGTTTGTACAGAATGTAAAGTAGAGTCCGGAAAACAGTGAACATTGACTTTCTGTATGTTGAAAGCCCTCAATAGAATGCTTAAGAACATACTTTTTATTTTCGTTTTTTCGTATAAACTTAAAGACATGAGGTTCAATGTTCACTGTTTCCTAGACTCTACTACTATTGTTAATTTTCTTAGGGCCCTTTCACTGAATCTTATAGTCGATGTTTATTCATTCGTACTAACTTTGTCTGTCAAAAATAATAGAATCACATTAAATATGTTGACCTTTTCTGAAAGAATTAATAATTATAAAAATATTTTCTTAGGGAATTTCATTTGGCAAAATCAGTTTTACCTTAGCAAGTACTAGCCCCGCCCACCCACCCTCTCTTTTCTTAGAGAGTGTCTCATTTGCCAAAATCACTCTTATCGTAGCAGGTACTTGCCCCGCCCACCCACCTTCTCTTTTCTTGGAAGGTATGTCATTTGCCAAAATCACTCTTATCGTAGCAGGTACTAGCCCCGCCCACCCACCCTCTCTTTTCTTAGAGACTATGTCATTTGCCAAAATCAGCCTTATCTTAGCAGGTACTATTCCCGCCTACACACCCTCTCTTTTCTTAGAGGGTGTCATCTGCCAAAATTAGTTTTCTCTTAGCAGCTACTAGCTACGATAAGACTGATTTTGGCAAATGACATACCCTCTAAGAAACGAGAGGGTGGGTGGGCGGGGCTAGTACCTGCTACGATAAGAGTGATTTTGGCAAATGAGATACTCCCTAAGAAAAGAGAGGGCGGGTGGGAGGGGTTAGTAGTATCCAAGATCGACTTTGGCGAATGATATATATACTTTCTAAAAAAGAGAAGGTGGATGGGTGGGCGGGGCTAGTACCTGATAAAATAAGACTGATTTCGGCAAATAGCGTACCCTCTAAGAAAAGAGAGGGTGGGTGGGTGGGGCTAGTATCTGCTAAAATAAAACCGATTTTGGTAAATGACATGGATCATCCAGAACAATCAGTTTTACCTTAGCAGTTGCTAACCCCGCCCTCCCGCCCTCTATTTTATTAGAAGATATTTCATTAGCCAAAATTAGTCTTATCTTAGCAGGTACTAGCCCCGCCCACCCACCCTCTCTTTTCTTAGAGAATATCTCATTTGTCAAAATCAATCTTATCGTAGCAGGTACTATTTTTTTGAAATTTGAAAATTGAAAAATTATGTAAACGATTTATTTCACAATTTTATAAAATGACGTCATTATCTTTGTCGAAGGGATGAGTAACATAAATTCCTCAATCAACTTTCACATCTTGGCAAAGTTGGATATGTAGTTTTTAAGAGAAACTCTAAAATTCCATTGAATTTTCGTACATTTTATTGCCTAAACTGTTATAATATAGGCAATGTATTAAATCAGGATGAAATTTACTTGAGAAAATTTTAAATTATTGTCATCAGTTTTCGCGAAAGGAGGAATAGAAATTTTAATTAATGTTTTATTATTTCGGTGAAACGTTAAAGTACATCCAAAGTTTCAAGGTAGTTGATTCTGTAATTTTAGAGATTTTTTTTTCGAAAAATATGGAATGTTTTGGTGGAAACAACAAATCTCAGTATTATTTTGATCTAATAAAGTTTGCAATAATTCTAGATTCTCTAGATTTTTTGTGCACATTCTGTATTTTTGTTGGTCTTTTTGTTTTCTTCAGATGTTCTTCAGTGAATTGCTACTTTCATGTTTTCTCGACATTCCGTGATCGCTAAAATACGAAAAAATAGGTTCCCCATTTCTTTTTGTGTGTCTTCATTAAGCAGATAATCTCCAAAACTACTAGACCGATTCTTTTTGAATTTTATATGTGGTTTACGAATATCGTGCAGGTGACAAAACGCTAACCAAAATTTTTAAACATCCCCACCAATAATTTGATGACGTCCTCTCATCATTTTGCGTGGTAAAGGTTAACTAAATTTTATAAAATAATGTACATATTCCTGTATTCGTGGTTTCTGAATCCGCCTTGATTTTGATCTTAGTTACTGCACATTTTTTTTTTTTTGTACAATATTTTCCAAGTGTTTAATGTAGGTTGGATTTTCACGTTTCCGTCTGTCTGTCTGTTTATTTGTTTCATTTATAAAAATTAACATAAAATAAACACAATATTGTAAAATCAAATTTTATCATTTTTCTAAAAAATTGGAGTTGTTCAATTGTATTTAGGGCGTGGGGAAAACTTTCCTTAAATAATTTTAAAATAACTTTAAATATTATGTATGGGTAGTTTTCTTCTGTCTCCGTCTTTATTTTATTTCTTCTAACCTCTTCTGTTTCGGTTCCACTATAGTAAAAAATTAGCTTTTCATTGTATGTTTTTATGATTTTATTATATTGACAGTCCACAGCTGTTCTTCAGTGTCTATTCTGCCTGCAGTATCAAAAACCCTATTTTTTGTTATATTATTTACTTTAAGTTTTATTTCCTATTTTAGAAGAAACAATGAGGACGGGTGGGTGGGTGGGGCTAAGTTTAATTAACTTTTTCCTGCAGAGTCTCCTATTGTATGGAATCCACTTTCGTCCCGACCAAATAAAATGAATCACTGAAATGGAGGCGGGGTGGGTGGGCGGGGTTAATTATATGATCTTCTGTAAAATGGAAGTGGGGCTGTTATAAAAAAAGGCCTAACAGTAATTTTTTTGTTATACTATTTATCTTAAAATTTATTTCTTATTTTGTAAGAAAAAAAAGAGAAACGGGTGGGTGGGCGGGGCTAAGTTTAACTTTTTTTTACAGAGTCCTTTAAAAGCAAGGAATAACCCCGCCCATTCGCCCCCTCTTCATTCTAGTAACTGCTCTTAATATTGTTTAGTCTTATCTTATCAGGTGCTAGACCCGCCCACCTACCCTCTATTTTCTTAGAGGGTATGTCTTAAAAGGTGTCATTTGCCAAAATCAGTCTTATCTCATCAGGTGCTAGACCCGCCCACCTCTATTTTCTTAGAGGGTATGTCATTTGCCAAAGTCAGTCTTATCTTAGTAAATACTAACCCCGCCCACCCTCCCACGCTATTCTCATCTAAGGCCTAATTTTATTTCCGTTTAGTATGGGACCTACTTTCATGCAGACCAGATAAAATGAATCACTGAAATGGAAACGGAATGGGTGGGCGGGGTTAATTTTAGATTCTTTTCTAGATTGGAAGTAGGGCTATTATGACAGAAAAAATGGCCTAACAGTAATCTTTTTATTATACTATTTAGCTTAAGGTTTATTTCTTATTTTGTAAGAAAAAAAAAAGAGAAAAGGTGTGGGTGGGCGGGGCTAAGTTTAACTTTTTCTTACAGAGTCCTTTATAAGCAAGTAATAACCCTGCCCACCCGCCCTATATTTTCTTAAAGGGTGTTATTTGCCAAAGTCAGTCTTAACTTAGCAAGTACTATCCCCGCCCACCCACCCTTGATATTCTCATTCTAAAAACTAATTTTATTTCCGTTCAGTATGGTATCCACTTTCATTCAGACCAGATAAAATGAATCACTGAAATGGAAACGGGGTGGGTGGATGGGGTTAATTATGTGTTCTTCTGTAGAATGGGGAGCGGGGTTGTTATAAAAAAGGCCTAATGGTAATTTTCTTGTTATACTACTTATCTTAAGATTTATTTCTTATTTTTTAAGAAAAAAATGAGTAAACGGGTGGGTGGGCGGGGCGAAATTTAACTTTTTCCTACAGAGTCCTTTATATCCATTTGCCTCTCTTCATTCTAGTAACTACTGTTAATATTGTTTAGTCTTATCTTAGCAAGTACTAGCCCCACCCACCCGCCCTCTATTTTCTTAAAGGGTGTCATTTGCCAAAATCAGTCTTATCTTACCAGGTGCTAGACCCGCCCACTCGCCCTCTATTTTCTTAAAGGGTATGTCATTTGCCAAAGTCAGTCATACTTAGTATGTACTAACCCCGCCCACCCACCCACGCTATTTTCATTCTAAGGACTAATATTATTTCCGTTCAGTATGGAATCTACTTTCATTCACACCAGATAAAATTAATCACCGAAATGAAACCGGGTGGGTGAGCGGGGTTAATTATATGTTTTTCTGTAGAATGGAAGTGGGGCTGTTATCAAAGAAAAAAAGGCCAAGCAGTCATTTTTTTGTTATATCGTTTATCTTAACATTTATTTCTTATTTTGGAAGAAAAAAAGAGAAAACGGGTGGGCGGGCGGGGTTAAGTTTAACTTTTTCTTATGGAGTCCTTTTTAAGCAAGGAATAGTTAATTACATGTTCTTCTGTAGAATAAAAGTGGGGCTGTTATCAAAGAAAAAAAGGCCAAACAGCCATTTTTTTGTTATATCGTTTATCTTAAGATTCATTTCTTATTTTGGAAGAAAAAAAGAGAAAACGGGTGGGCGGGCGGGGTTAAATTTAACTTTTTCTTATAAAGTCCTTTATAAGCAAGGAATAGCCCCGCCCATCCACCCTCTATTTTCTTAAAGGGTGTCATTTGCCAAAATCAGTCTTATCTTAGAAAGTATTAACCCTACCCACCCACCCGCGCTATTCTCATTCTAAATACCAATTTTATTTCCGTTCAGTATGGGATCCACTTTCATTCATTCCAGATAAAATGAATCACTGAAATGAAACGGGGTGGGTGGGCGGGGATTAATTATATGTTCTTCTGTAGAAAGGAAGTGGGGCTGTTATAAAAGAAAAAAAGGCCTAACAGTAATTTTTTTATATTCTATTTATCTTAACATTTATTTCTTATTTAAGTAAAAAATTGAGGAAACGGGTGGGCGGGCGGGGCTAAGTTTGACTTTTTATTAGCGAGTACTTTATAAGCAAGGAATAGCCCCGCCCATTCGCCTCCTCTTCATTTTAGTAACTACTCTTAATATTGTTTAGTCTTATCTTAGCAAGTACTAAAAAAAAATTGGTCTCCCGTTTCCACCTGTCTGTTTGTCGTCTGTCCCAATCGAAAGGTATTGGAGACCGAAACTAACTTCTGGAGATGGAAAATTAGTTGAATTTAAAAAATTGTTGAATGTTGGCCGAAATTTTTATAGGAGGGTAATGAAAAATTTTGCTTTAGAAATAGAAAAAGTTGCGAAAAAATCGCCAAAAACACCGTGTTTATTTATACTCTCGGTACAAGATTTAAAAATATTCGGTTTGAAAATATATTTTTTTTAAATCCAAAATATTTCGGTGGGCGATTTTAGAAAAATGGTAGAAATAATCGAAAAAATGCTTCCTTAAATTTCAAAAAACGGCTAAAATTGCCCGAAATTTTCTTAAGGGGGGCTCGATTGTTTTCAAATTTTGTATGTACATTAGGAATCCTGTGTAGATGGCAAACCGCTAATTAAAATTTGTCTGAATATCCCCACCGACAATGTGATGACGTCACTTCAAAATTTTACAGAATACATATGTTATTTCAGTTTTAAAAACTAACGTACGTGTACTTCTAATTTGTCGTTTATGGTAATAATTTTTTCCTGGACATCCAGATTTTTGCAAAAAAATCAAAATTTTATGATTTTTTTTACAATTTAACATTAAAACTGCAAAACCGAGAAATATTCTCTCTTTTAATACGTTTATATCTCCATTATACATTTTATTGAACAAATCAAGAACGGCTTTGACATTGATCAATTTTTGCAAAAGAGCCAACTTAAATATGTGTCCTCGCCTTTCCAAAATTGATGACGTCGCCCTTAAATTTTATTATCTTAATAAGAACAGAAACAAAACATCTGAAAAGCTGGAAGGAAGGGATTACTTTAAATTTTTTGTATTACACCAACACTCCAACACTGATTTAATAATTACAGAATATTTATCAAATTTTATTTAAAATCTAACAAAAAAAAAACAAGACGTAATGTCAAATATTTTTACCATATGAAGTCACTGAATGCCACCAACCGTTACAAAACTTCTGTGGACATTTTTAGTTCTACTAACTATAATCTCTCTTTTTTGTATATTTAATTTTATTTATTTCATTTCAAAAATTGTGTTCATGTTTCGTCCTTCTGTCATTTCAAAAGTCATTTTTACAATTTTTCAACTGCTATCGAAAAATATTTTTTGAATATTTTCCGTTAGTGAAATTTTGACAAAAAAGACAGTTTCATGATGTCTCTAAATAGATTTTATTCTGTAAGCTCTGTTTCCTGTATGGGTCATAGTTTTGACATTACTGTAATGAATTACACCCTGTATATTTTCCCACATTTTGGAGATCGATTGCTTCATTGTTAAACTGTCATCCGATGTAACAAACGCGTCAAAATCAAGTCAATTTTAATTATATAATTACTTAAAAATGTACAAAATAGGAGTGAAATAGACGTATAATATACGTATTTTTCTTCGTTTCAGGAAACAGCTGCGAAACCGACGACAGTGAACAGTATGTTTCGGATTCGGACTTTCAGCAGCAGAACACGAACAGTAAGAATTTCCTCCGAGTAGCACTTTTACAAATTAAGCTCTGTGCTTCAGGCAAAATTTATTATTATCGATAGCCAGATTTCCAGTTCCTAAATGCACTTTAAGCGCAATCAGGCCTCACCAGTGTAGTCTTGAAAAATACATAATGTTAAAAAGAGGGGTGCTATTTGAGCCTCGGGTTATAATTTTTAATCAAGCTTATTGGAGCGCACCCCCGATATCAGTCAATATGTAAGTCTGTTTGCACAAGATTTAAAAATTATCGGATTTACTTACATGTTCGGTAGTCCCTACGACTAAGCCGTTTAAAAATACTCTCAAACTTCTTTCATATTTATCACAAAAAAGTCAAACAATATCTACGTGGGCGTATGTTATCGAACGTAGTAGCGCGGTTACCCAGGCTGTAGTAATCGGAGTACATGCTGAGCTTAGAGATCAACCTGTCATGAGTTCTTTCAGCAGCCAAACATCCATTTAGTTTTGTATATTCTCAACTTAAAGCTCGGCGGGGTTCACCCTCTTTAACCTGTCATCTCTTTCTACACAGAAGCGCAACGATTGCGACAATCTTATTATTATTGCAGCTATATTTAGATACACAAAAATAGATTTTTGATAAACAGACTTTTTGATTCAAAATTTATTTGAAGCTCGAGTCGTAGAAAAACTAGTGTGCAAAACGGGTGACTAAAATTGTAAAACGACTGATTTGTTCGTTAATTTGTAGCAATAAAACCCGAAAATACAATGTCGGACTTGCTGCAGAACATAAACAAACCTCCTGCGTATCCCGTTTCATACTCAGGGAGCGAAAGTTTTGAAGGGGTTTACACCCCCACATATCAACATAGCGGATGTTTTTACGCAAATCCAATTTATAACAGGTAAATATTGCGTAAATACGGGACAAGTAGCGTTCTATTGATCGTAGGTCGTCATCGCCGATGGTTCACAGAAATAATGAAGTAACTCATGTTCCTGCTAATCTACAGGGAGTTCACCATCCACCGAACTTGCCGATCAAACAAGAACCAGCTGATAGGGATTTCGAAGGTATGTTTTTTGTTTTCAGATTTTTGCACATTTTTCTCGATTTCGAATGTAGTTTGGTTTTAAATTGCGTTCTACAAAAATTTGTAAATGTAAAATAGAAGGGATTTTTCTGAAGATCTCAAGAGCATATTTTTAAAGCTTCTAAAACTACATTATCAACGTTTGTGTCACGTAAAATTATTATAGCTTTGAGGACAGTAGGCACATATGAAAAAATTAACGAAAACTACCCCTAATGGATGGGTTTTTATAGTTCCGGTTATGAAATAGTGAATTCTAATCAAATGTCTTCTGTATTTTACAAATTTCAGTAAAGTGGAACGAAGATTTGCAAATTTGGTTTGCTTGAGTCCAAATCCAAATTTTCAAATATACCCACCATTTTATTCAATGAATACCAAATAAGAACCAGACATTCTGTATTTTATTTTTTCATCTTATTAAATTTTACATACAGTGAAGTATATAAAAAACTAAAAAACTCAATTGCTTCGAAATTGTAGAAACGGTTAAGTTTGTTTGTTGAAACGCAATTTCTATGGAATATTGTTTTAAATATGATCCCTTTATTTTTAAATATAATCTATACTGTTGTATTTTTTTTATTTAAAATTAATGTGATTAAGCTTTACAACTGATTTCACAGGACTTAATCTAGAGATTCTGACAAGTCTAAAAAGTTTTCATGAAATATATTAAAAACTGCTTTTATTTCTAATAGCTCTATTTTTTTATTTCCTGGGCGTGAGATAGCTTGTAGAATACAAAGAAGTAGCTCTCCCGTTTATGTCTGTCGTATGTACATTGTGTGTCTGTCGTCTGTTTTTCTATCATCTATCTGCCCGTCGTCTACTGATGACTTTAATAGACAAGTCATTTTCGAAAGGACTGTGCAAATTGTTGTGATATTTTAAATATTTTTCAAAGGTGTTAGTAAAATTTGTCGGTACATCTCCACCAAAAATATGATAATGTCCTCTTAAAATTTGACAAAATAAAATCTATCTAAAATTTGCAAAATAAATCCTTCTATATCTATGATTTATTAATATTTGTGGACTCAGAATTTCGTAAAAAAATTACTTATGGTACTTTTATCTTAGAAACTACGAACCCAATAACCCTCAAATTTTGAACATGTTTTAAAGTTATCGTGAACATAAATTTATCTGTTTATCCCTTGCACAAACTTGAAGACGTCATTCAAAATTTTGTAGTCCATCTCGTCGAGAAATCATTTCTTTTTCTTTTGTCAAGATGTACCTAATTATGTAATTAATATTGTGATAATCCAAACATCTCGTCAAAATTAAAAATTTGAATAAAATTTAAAATGTGATCTGGAACTGTGATGAAAAATTGAGAAATCGAAAACCTGAAAAATGGAAAAATTAAATATCGGGAAACTGTAAAATCCCACAAGAAGATTGCAAAATAGGAAAGTTGTAAAAAAAATGGTTGAAAGTTGTTTCGACAGAACTTCCCTCGCGTCTCCACAATTTACAGTATGAAATATAACAATTTTTTAGAATTTCAATATTCACAACGAATAACATCATTACAATTGAGATGGTGGTGGATAGGCGGAGCTTAAATTTTGTCTTTTTTCTGAATATACGTAACAATCTTTTCACGACAATATATTTAAAACATTTAAAATGCTACATTTTTGTCTGGAAACATCGAATTTACAATTAAGCTCCGCCCCTCAATCTGACAACCAAGGAAAAATTCATAAGAATTGAGATAAGGGCGGGTGGGTGGGATTTGTATTTTGCTTTTTTTTTTCTTAATGTATGTACTACTTGTCTTTTCACGACAAGAAACTGAAAACATGTTTAAAAGGGTAAATTTGTAGAGAAGTGTATGGGATAAAATTTACCATTTTAAACATGTTTTTAGTTTCTTGTTATGGAGTAAAAACAATATATAATAAGAAGAAAAAATGCGAAACATACGCCCCACCCACCCACCCTATCTCAATTGTGACGCTTTTTCTTTGTTCGTCGTTAGTCAAGGGGGGGGGGGGGGCTGAGCTTAATTGCAAAAACCGGATTTTTTACAAGAATTACCATGTGAAACATGTTCTTAAGTGATGGTGCAAAATATAAGGCCCGCCCACCCACCCTATCTCAATTGTGATGACTTTCTTTATTCATCGTGAGCCAAGAAGGTGGAGCTTAAAATTCTTATTTCTCTACAAGAAATTATCATGTACAACATGTTTTTGTGTATCGTGTTGTTCAAAGAATACTATGCATATTAAGTAAAAAATAAAGTCGAAGATTAAGCTCCACCCATTATCTTGAACTATTTTAATTGACAAAAACGTTTTTCTGCTTCTTTATGATATTATAAAATTTGATTTTGCGATTTTCGTTTTTGTGATAACAACGGAAAATTTGGAAAAACATCGATTGTCAATTGTAACAGAAAAAAAAGTACATACAACTGTGCATGTTTAGCAAAATTGTACATATTTCGAACAAATTCAATATTGAGTTTGGTGGGGATGATTAGTCAAAGTTTGGTTTGCGTTTTACCGTCTACATGATATTCATAATGCACATATAAAATTTGACAACAATCGGTTCAGTAGTTTCGGAAATTATCTGTCTAATAAAAATCCGGACAGACGGCAGACAGACAGATAGACGAACAGACGTTCAGACAGACGGACAGTTTGCTTACGCTCGGGAAGTAAAATTGAAAATACCTAAAAGTTGCAAAGTTGAATGATCGACAAATAGCAAAATTAAAAATTGAGAAACAAAAAATGAAAATATTAAAAGAAAAATGAAAATTGAAAAACCAAGGGATCGGTGGAATCGAAAAATTATGAATTGTTGAATGGAAAAGTTAAAAAACCTCACAACGGAAAATTCGAAAAATGGAAAAATTGGGAAAACGAAAAACTTCGAAATTTCAAAGTTGAAAGATCGAGTAAATGAGAAGTCGAAAAGTTGGAAAAGCCACAAATTCCAAAATCGTTAAATCGAAGAATCGGTGATTATTATGGAGAAAAAACAGAATGAAATATTGATTTTATTCTTGAATTAAATTTTATGATTTTTCGAAAAAGCTGATTGTATTGTACATACTTGAGAGGCGTGGGAGGTTCTGCTAAAGTAACCTGACACCATTTTTTTTCTGTTCAAAAAAATTTTGAGTATAGTGAAAACATATGTGGTAAAATCTAATGATTTTCGTTTTTATTCCTGGGTTATTTTACTGACAATATTTGTTTTTATATAAATTTTAGAAACGGAAGTAAATACTCTTAAAATATGTACAAGTAGATAAAAAAATTGGTTGAAGGTGATTTCGACAAAACTTCCCTCGCCCCTGAAGTACAGTATAACTTATTCGACTTTTGATTTTGCAAGGTTTGTGTAATAAAGTAAAGCGAATAAGCATGCTGCTTACATGTTTCAAGTGATTTTTTTCAATACTGTTATACGATAAATAAATTTTCTCATTCACTAATTTTTTTGGTGAGTCTCTGTAAGCAACTCTAAATAAAATGTCACTCACAACAACTCGATGTTTGATATAAACGCATTATTCTAAGAAACCATCAACTCAGAACAGGCACCGAACACGGCTGCAGATCACAATTTACATATGTTCCTGTTTGATAACTTGCCTAATTTTTGAATGCAAAAAATATTACTTGGCATTTTGTAATTATAATTATAACAAATAAAATCAAGCATATCACAATGCGTAAAAAACCTGCCGTATATTATACGCTCTACCCTGCCTGCCACATTTCACACATATAGGACCACTATTTGCTTTTTTTTAGAAATCAGCTTGCTTTTGATCTATTCTATTTACCCTATTTTATAATCACAACTACAATACGCGATGTGCGTTCAAACACTCGCTTTTCTGAGGCTTACTTCCGTCATAGCAGAGGAGACAGCCAGCTAGACTACCTGATTTACTGGCGGCGAAAATCCGTTATTGCAGATAAACATTCACGTGAACAACGACAATGAGAGAAAAGCTTTCAATTTGAGTATGTGCATTTATTTCGGTTAAAGTTAAAAATTACAAACAAGCAAAATTTAATTATGCCACACTTTATCAACAATCTCAAACATTAACGACTTTACATGATATTTAATTATGCGTTATTCAAATTAATAATTAATTCAAAATGAGTTCACTAAATCACATCGGGGACTCAACAAATCCCCACATCACATAAAACAAAGCACTTATGAAATAAACACATTAAATGCGGTCAAAATCAGCATAATAATTCGAGAATAAATGTTCAATTTCAGTTTGCGAGAAAATAACATATATATTAATACAAGACAACGTAAAAATAAAATACACCTCTTAGTTCGAGGCCACACTGATAATAATTTAACAGATGATAAATTTCAATGTCTTTCTCTCAAAAATGATCCACATTTAAGATTAGTTTTTAAATCATGAATGTGAAATTATAGAACTTAAATAAAAACATCCAGAACTTTTAGATAGATTATTACGAAGAATAAGTTAAGCCTAATCTAAATATGTGATTTTTCACCACGCTGTATAGAGCCACAGACAATTAAAAATCTTGAAATGAATTGTGAATTTACAAACAATAAAATTAAAATTACTCGCATTGATTGAATAGTCAACGTTTTACACATTTCAAAATAGAAAATGATTAATAAACTGATACTACTCTAATTACATTCGTTGGAGGAAGACTGTGGCATCGAATGCAATTCATGCTTATTTAAACAATTGCCCTTTTATGAAATTACATACAAAATTCTACGTATTTTTAATTTTTCACTGCACCCACAAAATAAGAAATGACCTTTTTGAAGACATCTTACAACCAACATTATTAAACCACCAACCAAACACAGGAAGGCCTTCTCTAATTCCCTAAAGGCTTAAAACATGATTTTGATTCGTTTTATAAATTCGGTTTCACGGCGTCGTTTTTTGTTACCACAAATAACTCAATGAAGCAATACATTTTA